GCTTTTATTTAATCAATTTAATCAAAGATCGAAAAATCCACACATCCGCTTGTAGTTACAAGTAGAATTTAAGAGAACTCAATGCAGTACAAATAGGAAAATGTTGCTTGCACATTGGATTTAGAAGCTATTCATCCTGGAGGAGGAGTGACTGAAAATATTTTTCAATGCCTGTTAATAACGTATATTTTCCTTCAATTGACAGTTCTTTTTACATTAACTTGCCCTTTGATACACTCATTTGTGAAAAAAAGGGAAAAAACCTGTAAAGCTAACTCTAAAGATATGTTTAGAAAGGCAGTGGATTATTCATGTTAATATTTTTATTTTAAAAAATCTCAAAATAAACAGGAGGTGGGAGAACAAGTCATCACCATGGAACAATTTTTATTTGTGATTTTTTTTAAAGCCATATTATAATATTTACAGATTAGAGAAGGCTCTGGATGTACTGATCAACACTGGAAGATTACCAGAGGCATCTTTCTTTGCCAGAACTTACTTACCTAGTCATGTATCAAGGTAATTATTTCACTTCTCAAATTATTTTTTAGCTCTCAACTATTTGAAAAGTAGTTGGGCTATCCTACTCACCCATGAGTTAAAGTTTGCAACTTCTTGTTCAACTTCATGTCTCATCAACTTCTTAAGATATTTGCTTGTAGCATTTTATACATCATAGTTGGAGTTCACTATCCAAGACCCATAAATCTAGCCTAGAATTTTACAGAATTATGGCTCTTCTTGAACATTATTAAAAATTATTTGTTGAAGTTTTGCGTGTGACTTCAGTTCTAAAAAACTACTAAAGTTATAAACTAAACAGTATTACATATCAGCATGGTCATCATTTGATGGTACTGTGTATGGCCTATTATTTTGACAAGGATTTTGGCAGAACTATGGCCTTGCCAGTTTTTAGTTGTTTCAAAACTGGAATATAAACTACTCGTGATAATTAGATGTTAGTCAGGGGAATTCATATTGACATTGAAGTTTTAGTCCAGTCATTTGCTGCTGATAATGGATTTCAATGAAATGTTGACATAATTCATGTAAGGTTGGTATTCAGTCAGGGTACAGGAGGCCAGTGGTTCTGCTTAAACACAAGCCTCTTGTGTATTAATGCTAGATTTGGGCGTCCCGGAATCTTTCTTTACCAATAAAATCTTGTAAGTCTCAAGTTTACCTTAATGGTGTGAATGCGAGATAATTTGATAAAATGGAAACCTAAAAATACTTAAATGCCATGTTATTGTCATAACAAAACAAAGCTCACCAATTTATAATGATTACCATTATTTTATCTATGATTACAGAATAGTAAAATTATGGAGAGAATCACTTCATAATGTAAAAGCTGCTAATTCATTAGCTGACCCAGCAGAATATGAAAATCTGTTCCCTGGTTTTGCCGAGACTGTAAAATGTGAACAATTCCTTAAACCACAGAGAATGAGACGGTACCCAGCACGGACTTATCCTCAAGTACCTGTAAGTCTGTTTTAATTAAATTTCTATTTATAAATATAGCTGCATCATTAACTATGACAGATTAGCTGTTTAAAAGTCATTTATGTTTAGATGCATAAATATTAGCTTAATATTGTGTTGCATTTCATGATTAAAAATGAAGTTTCGTTTTCCAGCAAGTGTCTAGATTCATTAGCCTGCTTATTGACGTTGATAAATTTATCCAGTTAAAGATATACTATACTCAAATTTGATAATTGAAAATTGCTTCACAGTATTTTTGTAAATATAAAATAAACATGTTTTTACTTCACACAAAGTCGATACAATGTATGTTATGCTTAAAATCATACACAATATAAGTGGACACACAATAAATATGTAGAATGATTAAAAAATGGCAGTTTAATAAGAAAGGACCAGCTTTACTTGACCCGTAATAAGTAACGCAAATTCCCATCCATAGTTTGCACGTTCTTTTCTTTAAATAGAATATATTCACTTATAATCATAAAGATTTCAATAAATTTCAGCAATACAAGTACTTTACTCAAAGATGAGCATAGTATATCTTTGATTACTGCTATAAAGGGAATACAATTAAAGTGAAGAGTATTATACTGTTATGTTTATTTCTATTTTTATGCTCCTCATCACTTGTGTGGAGATTTACCTGAAGTGTATTGAAGGATTTCGCTTATAACTTATTACACTGATTCAGATTAGTAAAAAGTGCAGAATACAAGAGCTATACTGCTACCTTGCTTTATTAATGATTTGTCTACATTTATGATTATTTAAAATAGTTATTGGCATGACTCTAAACTGTCTGAAACATCTAAACTGTCCCTGATATCTCAATGAAACTCCACATAACAGAGTCATGTTCTACTGTCCATCTATGATTGATAAAACACGGAATATGGGGACATCCCTGTCTGATGGACACCTTTCTAGTTTTAAATTTTAAATGTGTTGAACTTGACATTTGTAACCTGGCCTAGAAATGGTTCTGATCTTAAACCACCTCAAACTTTTAAATGTTTCAGTACCTTTGTTTTCTAACATATATATTCGTGTACTAACATATATATTCGTGTATTTTTCTCTACATGTTGTAACAAAAAAATTATGATAAGTTGTGGAACATTTTAGGCAAATTCAGACCGAGTACCGCTAGAAGAGATGGCCGCTGCCGAGGAGAAGGGTGCATTTAGTTACCAACGCCCACGACCTGAAGGGGATGATGATGAATTCGTTGAAGCCCCACAATCACAACAAAAATCTGAGGTAAAGTCCACATGAGAGAGTAAATCATTTGATCATCAATAACACTTTGGTTATGTTTTTGTGTGCAAGTTGGTATCCCTAAACTGCTGAAGGGATTGGTAGAAACTTTACACATTTGTTCTACATTATAATTTGGTACAGTGTGCACAGGTGACATAACTCTTAAGTTACCTTTTAACAGAGTTATGCCCCTTTTCTTACTGTCAAGGACTGAAAAAAGTTGAGTGTTCCGTCTTGCAGACTGCTCTTGTTATAGGCTCACAGTTACATTCGACTTGTCTGAAAGGCTTAGAAAATACAATAAAAGTTTTGTTGCCAGATAATTATGCAGTAAGAAAATAGAAAAAAATGTTCAGGGTTTGTTGGGGGGGTTTTTTTGCCAGATATTGAGGAAGTGGCTTTAGTTTACAATTATTCTCTAAAAATTAGTTAATTTTAATTTTGTAGATCAACTGTTAAAGTAGGAAAATAGGCAAAATATTTTTACTGCTTTTAATCACTGTCTTATGTGCACTGTGTTTTGTGGAGTTTGTCTGGAGCATTGGTGTTCTTCTTTTAATTGGCACTGTTTTGAAAATCTAGCCTTTTAAATTAAATATGTGTAGCCACTTTTTGATTATTAATTATTTCAAAATTGTCAAAAAATTTTCATGAATTTCATGAAGAGGAAATTATAATGGCTTGAACATTGGGTATTTCTTTTGCCGACATTCCTGAACTTACTCATTGTTGATGAATAAATTTTTTCTGTCTATATAAAATGAATAACAAAGAAAAACAGAGTTTAAAAAAAATGTAAAATATATTAACCTCCCCCTAATTGAAGTAGTACAAGAAACTTTATTTCAAGTTGGTTTACAAATTACAAGAAAGATTAGCTAATAAGCTATTTACTAGGGGTGTCATCTGGGGCCGAAACCGCCATCCGGATATCCGAATCAGACATCCGGATACATCCGGATGTTCGGATCGTTGTTATATTCTTAGTTGGCTGATATGACGTAACCGTTTATTGCGACCTTTTTCAAAGTGTTGTATTTCGTTAATTGAATGTTACGTATCAAAATATTTTCGGTATTGATTTATTTTTTTCTCTGTAGATTATGACTGTTTTCGGTAAATGAAGGGCTTATGATACTTACGATTTAAAATGGAATGAAAATTAAATTCATCGCCGATCGTCTCAATTCCTCAATTAGTGCTATAATACACAATAATACTTGCTCACATTTGTGAAAACAAAATAACACCCGTAAAAAAATAAAAGTTTCCATTGTTCAATAACACGCTGCAATTTACACACGATGACCTTTGACAGGTGTGCAGCCGACTTTTCAAAGGTATCTGCCAATCTTTGATGTTTACCAACATGGAGCCCTGGCTGTTTGCTTCTCGACATCAAAGAAGTCGCCGAAACTTACATGAATTACACACATTTTAAGTGTTCATAAGTGAAAAAAAACTGTGAAAAAAATGTTTTTTTTTAAATAATGCACATGTTTGATTAATACTAAAGGAGAAAGTTATTTTGTCGGATAGATATCGTATCAATTTCAATAAAAGCTGTGATAATTAACATATTATTATTCGTAAGTGCATTTCTTGATTTGATTATTTTATTTCTGGAGATTTTTCATTTTCTCAAATAAGCAGTCGACGGGTCGGAAAGCCGAAATAATCAAATACATTGTATATGTAAAACATTAGCCTAATTAAATATTTAAATTTGGACATATAAATGTAACATCGATGCCGATGACAAACGCACGGGACTTGTTCATCTTTAAACCAATTAATAAAACTTAAATGTGTTTGGTGTTTAATATAGATTAACAACATGTGTCATACCTGACTCGTAATTATTATAGTAATTATTGATTTTTTATGGTCTGCAGAGATTATGATGTGTATTGTCAAACTGAGGTACAATATACAATATGGTGTCAACACCATGTCTACGTCGATTATCTCAACGCATGTATATATCACATTTTTTCAATATTTTGAAATATTTTATACGAACATCCGGATCCGAAAATCGGGTCCGGACACCGAATCGTGATTCGAACGTTCGGATATCCGGACTCCGAATGACATCCCTACTATTTACCGACATTTACAAAGACATAAAACATATTCACTAACATCTAACAGATCTGAAGAAAATTAAAAACATTTAAAACTGGTAGCAACTATAAGCATGAAATAAAAGTAGCAAGATTGAAAAGAACTGTTAGATAGTAAGATATAATAGTAGTGTTTAATTAAACTCCCTGTATAGGATAAAGATTTAGACTGGGACAGTGAACCCGAAACTGAGACAGCACCAACAGAACCAAAACCTAGTGAACCAGTCAAACCAGAACCTACTGAACAGGTACCACCAGATTTATGGTGATTGGAATTGTGCACCCTTGTTTATATTGCATTTGTAAAAATAGCTTCACACCCTAGATATGATATTGCTAACAGTAAAACTTTTGTTTTAATTTCCAGGGAAATGCTTGTTATATAGCTGTAGATTGTATTAGTTGTAATGCTTTAGTATTGTTTTTTAAGTTACAGTGTATTTCTTAAGGGTGCTTGTACATTGTCAGACTGAATGTTATTAAAGTAACAAATTTATTATATTATGTTAGCATTAATGGCAGTAGAATAAGTGGAGAGTGGAATATGAATATAATGTAAATTCACTTAATTTTGTCTGTCTGAAAATAAATTCATGGTTTTTGTCACAATATTTTGTGGGTTCTTAAAATCTTGTATTGACTGTTTCGCAAATAGTAAAATGCAAATGATGTAATGCAAAATAATCTTACAGTAGAGGAAATACAATTTTGTTTGATCTGTAAACCACAGAAATGAGTGCTCCACAAATAATGATTATGCAGTAAAAGGAAGATTCAACCAAGAAAACTGGCACAGTGAGTTGAGTTGGTTACACTTCATATCACTTGTCCCTTGTTGTTTTGATCTTGCAAGGAAAGTTAAATTCATATAAAAAGGAAGCTATCAGCTACCTTAATAGCTTAAGAAAGGTCAGAGGTTAATCTTCTATACATACTTTTAACACAAACAAATGTGCAATATGGCAGCCAAGGTGTTTTCTGTGTGTACTTAAAGTTGTAAAATTGCTATAATATTACAAATAGTGGATTTTTTTTAATTCAGTGTACAGGTATCTTTAGAAAATGCCTTTCTTTCTTTGTATTATGCTATAAAACTTCATGTGCTAACATAAATTTCTTCTGTAGTTATGCTTTGTAGAAAATTTAGTTTTCATTATTTTTATTTTGCTAAATTATGATTGAGAATGAATGAGAGATACTGTAAAATCATTCACATTCTATTGTAATGAAATTGTAAACATTTAAACCACATCAGCAATGCATATTGACATATTCTTGTCAAATCTGCATTCAATGGCATAAATAAAGACTTTTTACTAAAGTGCGTATTAATGGTTTAGTATAAGAAAAAAATGGGGGGGGGGTCAATTTGATTGATATTATTTATGGGATTGATCAACGCTTTTTACTTTTGTATTCTTTTGTGAAAGGACAGATTTCAGAGTCTATTTTGTATGATGGTGTTGTTTGCATGTCACCAAGCATATTTTCCAGTTCCAAAGAAAATGAAACCTCATTGAAAAGTATTACCGTAATTTACAAAATTTAAAACCAATAATAACAGTATCTTTAGGGTTGATCCTTAAACATATACATGACACTTTTATTTTACAATTTTGAAAATGTAGAGTGTTTCCCCCATTATACAGTCATGTAAGCCACATCATCCATGTATTCAGGCCAGGCTTCGTTCTGATGGCTGGATCATCTTATAAATTCTCAGTTTAAACAGTTTAAAGGCCCATTATGTCCCTGAAATGCTTTTATTTTTATTTCTTAAAGGATATTTATTTTGAATGTACTTTTAATGGTTTCTGAAAAGTTACTCCTTGGTAAATTACCTGAACCATCTTTTTTACTGTTTTTTTTTTTTTTTTTTTTTTTTTTTCTTTTTTTTTTTTGCATTGATTGCATTAATAGTGATAAGAATTTTGTATGGGAGTCAAAATACTACTTTGTTTACTTTTATGACAAATTATTTCACATTCAGAGCAGCTGCTATTTTCTTCTGGTAAAAAGCAACTAACATGCTATAAAACCATTATTGAATCATTATTGAAATTCATCTTTGCCTTTTCTTAAGAAGTAAAAATATGTTTGTTTCTGAGGCATAATGTGCCTTTAAATTTATACATTGGACTGGTCCATACAGGAAATTCAGCTGATGAAGTGTTGAATTGTTGCTATGTAAATAGATTATTTGAAATAACGTGAAGGGAGCATGTAATTATGAATATTATAAATCCTATTAGATTATTTTAAATAACAAGAAGGGAGCATGTAATTATGAATTTTATAAATCCTATTAAATTATTTTAATAACAAGAAGGGAGCATAATTATAATGATGAATATTATAAATCCTGTTAGATTATTTTTAAATAACAAGAAGGGAGCATGTAATTATGAATATTATAAATCCTGTTAGATTATTTTAAATAACAGGAAGGGAGCATATAATTATGAATATTATAAATCCTAGGAAGAGGTTGTTAATGAGGCATCCGAGGAAGGTTGGGGATCTGACTCGGACATTGAGGATTATGATGAAACTGATCCAAATATAGATCAGTCACATGATCAGTCATGTGACATCACTAGTGTGAACACTGAACATGTTCCACATGACAGTACACTGTACACACCTGTGGAGGAGGTACTTATTTAGTTATAACCAAAATTTCAAAATGGTCTTTGGGAAATTTATTTTATCCTTTTTGCCTTTTTTTTTTTTTATTTGGTGGTTTTAATTTCCAACCATTTTATGTCAGGGTTTTTTGTTGAGGTGCAAGTCTTAGTAAGTTTTTTACTTATGGCTATTTTTAGAAGTGTGCAAAGGATTAACAAATAAAATTCTATAAGATAATAAGCATGGGGAGGGAAAGGTAATTCTTTATGTGTAAGACATTGGTAGTAAGACAGGAACTTGCATCTCAAAACTATTTTGACAGGTTTGTTTTTCCCTCTGGTGATTAGTTATTTTGTCCATTCTCTGGGCATGATTCTTTCCTGAAGATGTTAAATATTCATTTTGGAAAGCTTTCTAATAACTTTTTAGTGATAATATTGTGACTTAAACAGAAGTTTGAAAATTATTCAATTAAAAAAAATATTGAGGGATATTCAGAGTTTTGGTTTTTATGCATGAATACAGGAATTACAATGTTCTTTTTCTGGGTACCTGTTTTGTCAAGTAGAAATCTGTAAATTGTATATGTGTTGATAATCTGAAATAATGTTGAGAGATTGTAATATATTATACTATTTACTAACCAAAGGCGACTAGCCTTTGCCACCAGTATAGAGCCACGCCAGCCTGCACCTCCTTGCAGTCTAACCAGGCTCAATACTGTTGCCTGACCAACTTAATATTTTATTAGCTCACCTGTCACAAAGTGACAGGGTGAGCTTTTGTGATCACTTTTCGTCCGGCGTCCGTCCGTCCGTCGTCCGTCCGTAAACTTTTACTTTAAATGACATCTCCTCATAAACCACTATGCCAATTTCATCCAAACTTCACAGGAATGTTCCTTTGGTGGTCACCTTTAAAAATTGTTCAAAGAATTTAATTCCATGCAGAACTCTGGTTGCCATGGCAACCGAAAGAAAAAACTTTAAATATCTTCTTTTAAAAAACCATAAGAGCTAGAGCTTAGATATTTGGCATGAAACATCTTCTAGTGAGTGTCTACCAAGTTTGTTCAAATACAAGCCCTGGGGTCAAAATTGGCCCCGCCCCAGGGGGTCATTGGTTTTCCCTATATGCATATAGTAAAAACTTAAAAAATCTTCTTTTAAAGAACCCAAAGAGCTAGAGCTAAGATATTTAGCATGAAATATGTTCTAATGGGTGTCTACCAAGTTTGTTCAAATAAAAGCCCTGGGGTCAAAATTGGCCCCGCCCCGGGGGGTCATTGATTTTCCCTATATGCATATAGTAAAAACTTAAAAAATCTTCTTTTGAAGAACTCAAAGAGCTATGGCTAAGATATTGAGCATCAAACATTTTCTAATAGGTGTCTACCAAGTTTGTTCAAATAAAAGCCCTGGGGTCAAAATTGGCCCCGCCCCGAGGGGTCATTGATTTTCCCTATATGCATATAGTAAAAACTTAAAAAATCTTCTTTTAAAGAACCAAGAGTTAGAGCTAAGATATTTAGCATGAAACATGTTCTAATAAGTGTCTACCAAGTTTGTTCAAATAAAAGCCCTGGGGTCAAAATTGGCCCGCCCCGGGGGGTCATTGATTTTCCCTATATGCATATAGTAAAAACTTAAAAATATTCTTTATAAGAACTCAAAGAGCTATGGCTAAGATATTTAGCATCAAACATGTTGTAATAGGTGTCTACCAAGTTTGTTCAAATAAAAGCCCTGGGGTCAAAATTGGCACCGCCCCGGGGGTCATTGATTTTGCTTATATGTGTATAGCAAAAACTTAAAAAATCTTCTTTGAAAAAACCCAAATAGCTAGAGTTAAGATATTAAGCATGGAACATCTGTTAGTGAGTGTCTACAAAGTTTGTTCAAATAAAAGACCCGGGGTCAAAATTGGCCCCGCCCCGGGGGTCATTGATTTTCTTTATATGTGTATAGCAAAAACATAAAATCTGCTTTGAAAAAACCCAAATAGCTAGAGTTTAGATATTAAGCATGAAACATCTTCTAGTAAGTGTTTACAAAGTTTGTTCAAATAAAAGCCCTGGCCCGGCCCCAGGGTTGTCATTGTTTTTAACTATATGTGTTTTTAAAAAACTTAAAAAAAATCTTCTTTTAAAAAGCCCAATGAGCTAGAGCTTAGATGTTTAGCATGAAACATCTTCTTATGGGTGTCTACCAAGTTTGTGCAAATAAAAGCCCTTGGGTTAAATTGGCCCTGCAACGTTGGGGGGGGGGGGGGCTATATACAGGTGAGCGACCTCAGGGCCATCATGGCCCTCTTGTTGTGATTACCAAAAAAAGTGGTAATGGACTGTTCCAAAACTGTAGCTGCACAATTTTGTTTCAAGAAATTCAGTAAGTTCAGGGCTGAATTCTGCTGACAATTTTCAAGTATGTAGCCCTATCAGTGCGTACTTTCATGCTAGATTATTTTATGTATTTAGATTTTATATTAAATCCCATTTTATAAACAATTTCCATATTCAATTCATGACAAGTCAATTTCACAGCATTATCAAAGTAGAGGTTTAAAAAAGTGTTTAAAATGGAATATACCTGGTAATGCAAATAGCATCAAATACACATTTAATTTGTTTAATAATACTCACAATTAGGGGTGTGGATCGTCGGATAAGTGACGATCCGATCCGAACCACGATTCAGCACTTACGATTCACAAATCGAACCACAAATCTTTTGTTATCAAGACACCCATAAAAACATGTACATGTATTAGTTATAAAAACATGTTTATTAAAAACAAACAACGATACTAAACATTAAACATATAAAATATAAACTAGGTTTATGTTTTTATTCTTTGGAAGAGTATTTTTGTTTTGTTTTATGAAACAAACTACTTCCTAACCCAGCATTATGGTACAGCACCTTGTATTTAGGTAAACTTCCAATAATTTATACTCAAATCGTATTTTTCTCGATTTTAAGAGTGTTATTAAGAAACAGTGAATGTATAGAAAAAAAAATAGATCGCGATACACGATCTTTGGGCTTACGAATATTCAAACTCCATTTTTCACTTTGATTCGTGATTATTCGAGTACTCGGATACTCGCCCCAGCCCTACTCACAATGGATTTTATTGGTATTTTATTATCAAAATCTCTGTTAAAAAGATTTCTAATTTTAATAAATTAATAGTAATTTTATTTCACAAAAAAAAGTATTTTTGTATTTATCACCCATAATTTATTATTGACTCATTATTATTTTACTGGTTTCAGTTTTCAACTTCATGAACTGGTTTTATATGAAGTCATTCATCAATTCGGGAGCAGGGTTTTCTGGTCTCAGTCCACCATAAAAATATGTGAGCCGCATCACGACAAAACCAACATAGTGCGTTTGCGACCAGCATGGATCTATCCGCCCGTCTGTTCAGGATCCATGCTGTTCGCTTACCAACTCTATTACAAGTAGAGAAACTGATAGCAAACAGCATGGATCCTGATCAGACTGCATGGATGCGCAGGCTGGTCTACTAGATAGATGCTGGTCGCAAACGCACTATGTTGGTTTTGTCATGACGCGGCTCATATAATTCACGATACGTTAATATTTGCAGGCTAAAGCAGTAACAGAACCTGAACAGCCTCAGTTAGGAGAGGATGAGATGGCCGACCTTGAAAAAGAATTAGAACTTGACCTGAAAAATCTCGATGTTAATGATGCAGGGGTAAGACATTTTATTTTGTGATTTCTTGCTAAAGTGGAGACTAAAGCTTATGTTGTCCTGACATTGTCACAAGAGTTGAGGGTGAAATAATTGTCATACGAAATGATAAGCCTCCGACATTGTGTTATAGTAAATGACAGATATGTTGCAAAGATATCAAAATTGGTATTTCTTGCGAAGTGTTTTTCTATGAATATTTAACATTTTATGTCTTGATAGGAAACTTTAGATAAACATTTCATTTTCAAGACTGGCAATTAATAGGACAAAGGTATTACATGTACAAACTATAAACAAAGAATGTGCTGTATTATATTTCATTATTCCCAATTCACTTGCTAATCATGCAATTTCTAGTTATTTGAAAACTTAAAAAACCTGTTCCTCTTCCAAGGACGCCATTGTTACAGGTAAAGACCAAATAGTAGAAAATATGTCACACAGAAAGCCATAATTCTGTTCTCCCTTTTTAGCTCGACTATTCGAAGAATATGAGAGCTATTGTAGTCGCCCCGGCGTCGGCGTCGGCGTCGGCGTCAGCGTCCGCGTCGGCGTCTGCGTTGGTTAAAGTTTTTTGTAAAGTCAAATATCTCAATCATTACTTGAGATATTCAATTGAAACTTACAATACTTATTTATAGTAACAAGGTACATCAGATTGACAAGTTGGATAACTCTGCCTACAATATTGACAGAATTATGCCCCTTTTTAACTTAGAAATTTTGGTTAAAGTTTTTTGTAAAGTCAAATATCTCAATAATTACTTGAGATATTCAATTGAAACTTACAATACTTATTTATAGTAACAAGGTACATCAGATTGACAAGTTAGATAACTCTGCCTACAATATTGACAGAATTATGCCCCTTTTTAACTTTGTTATCTCAATTACTACTGAAGGGTGTGTGCCTTTTTTTGGGACAATTTTATGCATTCATAATAATAAAGCAGTGATTTACTTGATAAAACATCTTAATTAGAAGCCTTTGTACCTTTTCTGTCAAATTTATGTATTCATAGGTAATTAGTATTATTATACTCAATAAAACAACCTTGTGACATTACCTTCCGAATAGTCAAGCCAATACTGTATAATTAGACTCTCTCTAAGGCCTATAACATGAATTTATTAAAAAAAAATTAGACCTTTTGTGATCTTAAAAAATTTAACATTATCAAAATTAGACCTTTTGTGATCTTAAAAAATTTAACATTATCAAGGCTCTTTTACTATCAAGCACTTAGAATAGTCGAGCATGCTGTCCTACTGACAGCTCTTGTTAAATAAATAATTAAGAAAACTGGAAAGTAAGTATTCCCCATTTCCTAATTTAACAATTGCACTATAAAAGTGCAGCAAAACTGCTAGTTTTAAGAGATTTAACAAATATTGGTTAATTTTAATGTAAGGGGTTTGACTGTGTTAAGATCTGTTCCAATCTATGTTTATGCTTTTAAGGCATATTTTCACAAAGCTATTAACTAAATGTTTTATCGTTGTTGTTTTTTTGTGGTCTTTTCTCTTACTGACTGACATAATAACATTTTGTTGTTTTTCTATGCCACTAAACTTGTTAAAACTGTTTTTAGGAATCAGGGGAGACTAATCAGGTATAACTAAAAGTGAAGTGCATGGTTTTTACGTAGACATGATATCCAATAGTTGTAGTTTTTACTAAACAATTTAGTAGTTTATAACCTAACTGAAAGTTAAAAAGATTGCTTGCATAGGTATGTATAAAGCTGTATTATATTTAAAAGCTGAATAGTTGATTCATTATTTTGCTTGTCTGAGTATGTTATGATTAAATAAAACTTTCAGTCCAGCTTTTAGAAACCATTTTTGTTGACATTTTTTACCTGAGCAGGGAGTCCTTTTGGGGATAAATAGAATTTTTCCCAGGATTTTAAAAAAAGGTGGTCATGGTTGGGTATGTTTTTATAATTTTAAAGGTTTTAAGGGAGTGAGCTCATTTTGTTTTCAGGCCCAATTTTGCTTAAAAATCTGACTTTGAATTTTACCTTTTTTTGCCAAAAGAAAAAACGTCAACCTGAATAAAACTAAATGGGAGTTTTTTTTTTCTTTATCAAAAATTTCCAAAATAAAAAGTATTTTACCCCTTTTTGTCAAAAAAACAAATTTGGGAAAATATTGGAAACTTAGCAAAGCCAAAAATTAAAAAATTTTAAAAAAAATTTCCCTAATTTGATATCTCACCCCCCTTTTTTTAAAATGTTTTTTTCTACTTTTATATTTGATGAAATTTCAAAAAATTATAAAAAAGATCAAACCAGATTTTCTGACTGAAAATCTGTTTTTTTTGTGTAATTATTTCTTCAAGAAAAAACATTCTGCTTTTTTATGCACATTTTTGGTCATAATCTCTGGGGTGGTCAAATTAACTGGATAACTAACTTAACTGGATACTAACTGACTGCGATAACTAACCCAGTATTTACCAATTTCTCCTCAAATGACCAAACTTCTTACCCAACAATGAGCTGTGAGAGATAAATGACCACATTACAGGACTTGATGTCTGAATCAGTTGTCACAGTGAATGTTCTTGGAAGCTCTCTAGAGGATCAAACTAGAAACCCTTAGATTACAAATCCAAACCTCTCTCTCTCTCTATTGAGCTATACAGGTTGATAAAAAGATTGGAAGAAGAATCTTAATTTTCATTCAACATATTGATGATCTGTGTCAGAAAGTCTGGTTTGTTTGAGAGAATGGGCTAAATAATTTGAGCCGCGTCATGACAAAACCAACATAGTGGGTTTGCAACCAGCATGGATCCAGACCAGCCTGCACATCGGCGCAGTCTGATCAGGATCCATGCTGTTAGCTACCAGTTTCTCTACTTATAATAGAGTTGGTAAGGGAACAGCATGGATCCTGATCAGACTGAGCGGATGTGCAGGCTGGTCTGGATCCATGCTGGTCGCAAACCCACTATGTTGGTTTTGTCGTGACGCGGCTCATTTATCACAACGTATACATGTTTATTATTTTGGTTTTTGGCACAAGTTATAATCTCTGTGTATTGTTTTAATATTTATTTGTAAATTACCCAATTACAAAATGCTGCTTTTAGTTTCCAATGATTTTGTTTATATTATTTGATGTTGAAATATGATTTGAAGTTTGCTTATATGTACATGTAATTGTATGATTACATAACACAGTGTGCAAGATTTTAAGAGAAGTAAAAAGATTCAAGTAATCATTTACATGTGATGTGGGATCAATGACTGATAATGCATTAAATCATTACCATATTTTTATTGTGCAACTAACACAGTAAGGGCTATTTTTGCATATTTCCCCCCCCCCTTTTTTTTTTTTTTTTTTTTTTTTTGGTAATTGGCTTAAATTATTTCTTTTGTTTACTTCAGGACATTTTGATTTTAAAAAACATTCTCAAAATTTTCATGAATATATTACCCACCTAGTATGAATCTGAAGGCATGTTGCATTAATGCATGGACCAGACATGTAAATAATGATTATTAATGACGGCTTATTTGGTTGATAATGACAAGCGTTTTTTTTGGCAAAAAAATTTACAAAAGTTTTTCTTACATCAAATATACAGATATCAGAAGTACATTATATTAGTAATGGTGTCTGAACTTGAAGTTGTTCTTGAAATATTAACAACAGAAATTTTCACTTCATGCCGCCATCACAAAACTACATCAAATTTAAAAAAAGTACCGTTCACAGTCCAATATTTGATGCTTTACTACTTTAAAAGTCCAGCATGACCTTATTAAAGTTTACATTATTTTCTGCTCCCAATTCTTATTTGAGTGAAAGTTTTAAAATGTAAAGCAGGACAAGACAGTCTTTACACATCAAGCAGTGTAATTTTTATTTGCAATGACGGGGTTATTACGTAGGGAAGGTTTCCTTTCCAGAGATTTTAATCTAGGGTTAGAGAGGAGTTTGGCATGGTTTAAACTGGAGTATGGGAATAAAACAATATTACATTGGTTGGAAGATGAAAAAACGAAATATATGGGTAAATGTGCATCTGTAGAACATTAAAAAATATACTCACTTCCATTTTCTTTTCTATTTCAGGATATATGATTTTAGACGAAAATTTGCTGGAGAGATGATCGTTGAAAATTGTGTAAATTTATTTATACCTTATATGGAAAGTTTTAAAGTGAAAATAAAGAAAACTTGATTTAAAGGAAGACGGTCAGGATTGAAATTGAGGACTATCCTAGGATATTGTTTAAACAGATGTTTGAAAATATGATGATTCAATTTATTTATTAGGGACATAGAAAGTTTATTGGAATAATGGTCTCTGGTCATGATATTGAAGATATTGTTTAGGTTGGTCTGAAAATAATGCATATTTTGTATGGTATAGGTGAAGTGTCAAGTCTATAAGAAGCTGGAAAACGGCCAAAAATAGTTTCAAATTAAAAAAAAAAAATTATTAATTTTGATGTTTTGACAATGGATAGTACTATAAAAAAAAGAGAATTTAAGAAAAAAAGCAGAAGTCGGAAGTGCCAATTTTGGTGTTAAGAAAATTGTAAGTACTTAGTGTATTTAGCAAAAAAAAAAAATATTTAATTAGAAATTTACTGATGCAATATCCAAAACTTAACTTTAAACCATATAATCAATGGTATTAAGATTTTTAGTTTAAACCCAATAATTTTATTTCGTCAAAACATTTCCCTTTACATGATTAATTACAAATAATTTAAATTGTACGGATCATTAGAGTAGGGAACCTTAAAAGCTTTTTCAGAACTCTCTCCCATTAAGGTTATCAAAGATTTCTGCCACGTGTAAGTTTGGGGTTTTCTATACATTGATTTATAGAAAATGCAATATTTTTCATGTTAAAAATCATACACGTAAAATATACATGCAGAAAAGATGTTGTACTAGCCATCATGTCAACACGGGACATTTGAATGATCCAGCAAGGGTTTAACCCAATATATATATATTATTTAATACAACTAATTTAAATGTCCAAGTGACGTTCCATGCGGTCTGTCACCCAAACATGTACATTGTAATGTTAATTTGTATATTATTTTGATATTGAATTGACAATTTTCATAAATTTTTTGTCACATGTCACAATTGTGACATCTGTATGAATGTGGTGCATTAGATTGATGATAAAAAAATCTTATTAAGATGCTTAATAATCATGGAACAATTATGTAGGATGTTGACATCATTGGTGTGACATTGTCGGTGTGTTGACATCCTAGATAATGTCACACACAAACATTTTGATATGAGTGTGACGGTCACATATTGTTTGTGCATTTTTGTGTAACATACTACATGTGTATGCAAATGTTAATCACAAGACCATTTTAGCATAGCGTGAACATCATCCATGTGACATTGTTTCAAATGTGACATCCAAAACTGATGTGACATTCGAGGGATACCAATTTATCGTTTATTTATGTGTTTTTGTTTTCATTGTATATTAAAGTGCTTTGAAATTATATGATACATTGAAATTATATATATTTCTTTTGTTTTTAAGAGTATAGGATGTAAATAATTATAGAATAACATATTTTGTTTTATAAAGGGATTCCTAGTATGTACTTAACTTGAAAAATTTACAAGATTCAGATGTAGTTCCTGTACTGATTTTTGATAAAATTATTTTTTCTAATGAAAGATTAGAATATGCAAAAAACAATTTTCAAGGATTGCAGTAATTTTTTGGTGAATTCACTAAATAAGAGAGTAAAGAGTAAAATTTTTAATGGTTAACATTTCATGGACAATGCACTGTCTTTTTGTGTAAATACATGATTACATCAGAGAAATATTAAAATATGAATAAATTATGATAATGTGAAAACCTTTGTGTTGTTTTATTTTGAAATCATTAATTCCATTTCAAATTGTATACATGTACCATGGTTTTAATTTGAGCCGTGGTACGTTTAGTTGTTCTGTACATATTGTTGAATTTACCGTTTAATGATGATAGTTGTGAAGAACTGGATATTCTTTGAAATAATGTACAGTACAGTAGCCGAAAGGTCTTCCTCCAACAGTAAATGTATGACCTATGCCATGCTGGTGTAACTTGATTTATTAGCTACATATATACATTTCCATAGAAAATGAATGGGTCCTAATAAACACTGGCAAAAATTTCTGGGGAGCATATAGTCGGCGCCTTGTCCCTCTGTCCGTCCGTTGTCTTGTCCGGAGCATAACTTGAAAACCCTTGGAGAAAATTTGTTGAAACTTCATACAGTGGTAGAGGGCATTGAGGAGTGCAGTGTCAAAGAACCATAACTCTATTTTGCCCGATTTTTTAATTATCTCCCCTTATAGGAAAATCTTGTCCGGGGCATAACTCTAAAACTATAAGAGATATCAACTTGAAACTTTGTAGGTGAATAGATCTCAATGGGTAGATGTGCAGTGCATAAGAAAAATAACTTTTTTTTTGTCCTAATTTTGGAGTTATTGCCCTTTGTTAATTTTAACACTTTGAACTTTGTCTGGAACATAACTCTAAAACTATAAGAGATATCAAGTTGGAACATTGTAGGTAGATAGATCTCATTGAGTAGAGGTGCAGTGCAAAAGAACCATAACTCTGTTAAGCCTCATTTTTGAATTATCTCCCCTTTTAGAAAAATCTTGTCCAGGACATAGCTGTAAAACTATAAGAGATATCAACATGAAACTTTGTAGGTAGATACCTCTCAATGGGTAGATGTGCAGTGCACAAGAATCATAACTCTGCCGTGCCTAATTCTGGAGTAATTGCCCTTTGTTTATTTTAACTT